CGGCAGGACATCATTGTTAGCTCTATTCTAACTGTATTTTCATAATACAATGAATTTTACGTGTAGCTTATGAATGGTGAGCGCTGCTGTAGTCTAGGGCGAGGAGGAAAAAACTGCGGGTGGAAAAAACACCCGATGGGTACCGTTCCAACGCTGAAATCTAGCTAGCGGGCCCTCTTCAACCGTTGTTCGCTAGGCGTTCTGCCAATACGTTGGAGGTGATTAGTGTATGAACAACAGCATTAAGATCAAAACAACGGCAGGGGGTCCATAGTACTAAGCTTCGCTAATGGTACGCTATCTGGTCGGCCTGCATATTCATAAGGCTCTACCGAGAAAACGCTGTTGTAGACGGTCAACTAAACACTAATCGTGTCTTGGCGTAAAAGCAGAATAGAGACGCAGTATTTTTGTTTGCATTGTTACTGATGATGTTACACACGCCGCGACTGTTTGCCTGGCGATGGGAAGTTTTCCCGATTGTACACAGCAATAGCAAGTGTAGTCATACCGGCAGTAGCATACACCTGCCGCACAAAGCCCATAAGCAAAAGGACGTGTCCTCACAGTCGACAAACATTGACTTCAATAGCACTTCTCGTAAGAAGAGGCGTTAGGCAAATTGAAACAGCGCTGGATGAACGAAAGCACCCATGTCATACGAATATCTGCATTGAATAAGAACGACTTAAATGATCCCTGCTCGAAGGAGGCGACAATGCTGTTATCTTAGTGCCCCGAAGTAGGACGAACCGATCGGATCATTTTCTACTCTGGGACAGTTTACGTTCGTGAACGTTGTTGTTTTCAACATAACGGCTATGAAAAAATGTTCAGGCGCGTACTATTTCTTTGTTATTTAACACAACTAATACATTAGGCGTTAATCAGTGGAAAAAAAGTTGATTCGCACGGAAACTAAACAATGTACCGCTTCAGCAAGTAAGGCCTTGCATCACGTACATGCGATCGGCTTACCTGATACTGGCTACTACTGTCTGTCTATGAGAATAGGGCTCGAAATATGGCTGTCTGATATCAGAATTTTGTGAAAACAAGCCTATCAGACCATTTTTATATGACCACATCGATTGCGGTATGTTTCTCTACGGCGGAAACGAAGGGTACTCGTTGTACAACTGTGGCAATAATAGCCCACGGGTTTCTTTGTAGACTGGAAATGTATTGTGCTATACAAACGTCGTTTACATTGCGGCAGTCAATATATAACGATAACATATGTATGAATATATCAGGAGACACCAAATCGTATTTAATTTAGCTGCTCTATGGAGAATCCCGTTGAGTGTTCAGCTCACCTCGACATGTGCCTAGCAGTGAGGTTGGCATGGGATATGGCCGAAGAGCGTTAGTGCATAGTTTCATTGTGAAACAATACTTTTACCTAACCTTCGGGGATAATTTTTCTATTTTATTCAAATAATAACTGTGAGAGGCAGCAGGCATGGTACGATCCGCAGATGCTGGTGTTCTATTGTAAATACTTAGAGATTATTTTAAATCTATGAATTTACGTGTGCCCATGAAAAGCTCAGAAAAAGATCATTGCATACGTAATTATTGCCTTTGAGGACAGCTTTAACGCTTTCTCGAACTTAACCTACCCTAGAATGTAAAAAAATCATCTGTTATGGGAAACGTCTCATGTAGTTTAGTTTGCATCCATACGTTCGTTTTCGTCACATGTGATGATGTAAAGCGCTACGCCAGCACAAACCTTCACATGTCTTTCTTATAGATAAAGCTGGCGGTTCATTCATTTTTGTCTATGCCGACTTTCGTTTTGGCCCTCAACTTGCTCTATTTCATCACCAAAGAACGCAGGTGGCCTTGTCCAACTCGCTCGATCGAGCGTAACGTAGCCGAATTTATGAATCGAGTTGATCACGAGAACGGCCGATGCGACCTATCCTCAGAGCATTAGAAATAGGCATCTGTTTGGTACTACAATGCAGGGAATACGCAAAGGCTATACCAGAACTAATCTACATAGAGATTGCAGGCATCACGTTTCTATTCTATTACTCATTGAGTTCCCTGCAATATTACCGTCCCAAACATGACTATAGAAACAAGCACCACATTGCCTAGAAAGGATGCTGCCTTTCTATGAGACTTTGTCTCACTACTGACTAGATCACCTTTACTACCATAAGTATACATAATAAGTCTCCGTAAATTTCAATATTATTTTTGCAAAATAGACAGCTCATGAGTCGGGACTGATGCCAAAAGACCGCCTGCCCAGTTATGAAATAATACAAAGATTAAAAAAAAAAAAAACAACAAATAAAGCGCAATTCGATGGAAGGGCACCGTTATTGTTGAAGACTAACAGTGGCGAACAACAATGTTGACCTTAGTTAAGAGAGAGTGAACGTATAGCCTACAATAGGTGTTGAAGAGGTTACTAGAAGTTCGAGTTCGGAAATCCTTCTGGCTTCGAGCTACCAAAATGCGGAGCAAGATTTCGTCCTATAGTCGCTATAGAGTACACACATGACAAGACAGTAGACGTTATTGGTTAGATATATGGCAAATTACCTTTTTGCAGCTTCATTTTTGTAGGTCAATTTTGCGAACCAAACTTGATCGATCTTTCTGGGCAGTTTGATTGCAACGAGCGTATATTCCCCCGTAATGGCGTGGTCCAGCATCGCACGAATTGTGAATCATATATAAAGACCATCAAATAGCATTTGTCTGCCCGATGTAGGCGGCTTCAGAGGCTGCTGCGTACATTTCTTATGGCTGCGTCGGCAATGTGCGGAAGACCTACGCGGTATGAAGTTGCATCTGTTTTGTGGCATTGGAGTGCTGTCATGTCAGTCTTACCTTAACGGACCTTCAGAGGTCCGTTCGCTCATGTTATGTGTTCTGTAATTTGTGTTAGAAAGGCCCCGTGACCACGGATGTAGCTCTGGCGCAGTCGCTCGTTCGCAATTCATTAATTTATCACAAAATTACAGATAACAGTTGCGTTACTTGTTCAGTAAAAACAAAAAAAACGGTAAATGTTAAAATAAGACCAATATTTTTTGCTAAAAAAAAGCTTGAAACGAAGCGGCTTACAGTCCAACGATTAACAGAAATATATATATATAACTAATGAACTGTACTTGCTTGACGTATAATTAATTGTCAAGTTCATATATGGTCTATGTAATAATTCTACGAGTGCTACCCATTTCGTTGGTACGCTGGCCTCTCGTCCGTCACCAGCAGGTCGCTGAATATCAAAACCTATTTTTATATTCAAAAAAATTTGCTTCCGTTAGTTCTACGTAGTAATCTACCAGATATTAGTATGCACACAAATCCCTCAGCGTGCCAATTATATGTAAAATATTTTAGAGTATCCGCTTTCATCTCCGCGAAAAGCGCTCCGTATTCCTTTGCACTGCAATATAATTAGTTATATTGATTTGCCAAAGAGTGCAGGTGGCCCTTTCAGCTCATAAAAGCCCGTTTTCATGGGCAGTTTCTCGTTGTCGTTCGCTAAACCAAAAACCTTTCGCCGGGGTAGAACGACTCGTAATACGGCACTCTTAAGGTGGGGGCGACTTAGATATCGGACGGCATTTAATATCGTCCATACAACCAGGCATGCGTGCGCGTCCGTTATTTTCGTCGTTTCGTCGTCAAATTACGTTGCTACGATCGCGGGAGATCATATCTGATGATCTAGTAGCCGTACGTGTCTCCTGTTCAATTTCTTACACACTCCCTTACTTTTTTCTGTCTCCCTTTTGCTTAGACTATTACCTTTATAGATGCTTGCTTTACACACGCACCCGCCTCGCCCATACCCGCAAAACCTTCTGTTGTAGACATGCTTTCCTATATGCCTCTGATGGACTGCCCAGGTTCGAGTGTGTCCATATGCAAGTTTCTGCTTGTTGTTCAGCGTTGAGCGACGCACTGCAAATTAGCACGGAACTTAAATAATTTGTTGCAAGACCTTCGAAGAAGATCACTTCGGTATTCTATGACCAATCTCTTTTAGACCAATGTCTCAGCCGCCCTATATCGTCTCGTAGCAGCCGCGCTAACGTAGCTGTCTTTTTCTCAGTGCCCTGGTGGCAGTAGCCGCTGAAGCACCAGTCGTTATTATTGCTACTTCACTTAGGCAGTCACTATGAAATCCGACAACGCAAAATTTGAACTGTGGAAAAATAAGTGACCTTTTGTCACTCCCCGTCTCCCTGTGTCGAGCCCTGGAGTTGTCCTTCGCGTTACACCGACCACCCAGTCCCCTCTCCACGTTTTCTAACTTTTTGCACTATAATAGCCATATGTAGGAGGACACACCGTGCTGGTACTCATAATTCACTCCGTGTCACCTTCTATAAAGCATGTGGCGAGAGGCGAAGCGGAAGAATGGAACGGATGCTCTAATAATCTTCTACTTCGAAGGATAGAAACGATAATATCATCAAAAAAGTTAAAACTGTGTAGGCAATCATTGCTAAATTCTTCTACTCCAGTTAAGTTAGCCTATTACAACGAATGAGTTTTTATCATTGTTCTTGCAGTTCTTTCGAGAATTACAGCTGGAACTTCTGGGTGTATTATACGCTTTAGGTAAATAAATCTCATGTTTTTTTAGTGATTCTATTTGCCTACCTTAGAGAGAACATATGAGGGGAACAACGGCTACAAATTAATGTTTGTAACGCGCATAATGTGTGCACTGTAAATGGTACGCCAGTATCGATTTGGCGAACAGTTGATGATACGAAATTGAAAGGTGTTTAATGCTATTGCCTGATCAGCAATTGATGACTCCTCTAGTTGGTTTATTTTACCCTCGAGGAAAAGGCTGGGCCCATCCCTAGTATGTCAAGCAAAGTTTGCTGTTTGCCCCCATTACTTGATCTTTTGGACCAATGATCAAGCTGCGCTCATGTCAATCCCAAAACACAGAGTGAATATAGTAAAGTTTTTCTTGCCTTTTTCAGCTCGATCTTGAGCCAAGTTCCAATCGCCCATCATCACGTGCTGCATACTAGAGCCTTTGCAGGCTGTTCGTGGACGAAGAGAACTTGCTCACTTCGCTTACTACTTTGCAAGTCATCTGTACTCGAACAGAGGCGGTGACATCGCACAGGCGACGGAGGGACTAGCAGAAAACAAACCCAAATTGATTTGGGCATTTCGACGCGCCCGAAATCAACAGCTGATATATGGGATAAGCGATCCATCGTAATCAATATTTCACCCATGCATGTGTGCCTGAGTTTACGTCAGGTTTCTCGTAAAGCTGTATTGAAAATCGCAGTTGTCCGTCAGCAAAGCAGCTGGCCTGTTTCGCTTAATCAACATATATAAACAAATAACTGACAGGTGACCACAGCTTCTACAGTGGAAGCCGTAGCGAAACGGCACTTGTATACGAAGAGTCCTGCTTCATGTCCAACAAGGAAAAGGGGAAACGATTAGTTATCCTTTAACATTGGCCTTAGGTATTCGATCTGCGCAATCTGGAGGTGCCGGCAACAAAAAAAGAAACAAAGAACAGTGAGTATCAATCAGCTCGCTTGTTCGATCGATACTTTAATGTACAATATAGGATATTATTAGTGTAAAATCAGTGGCAATTGGAATGAGAGCTGCGCCTGCGAAATTAAAATCCGGCTAATTCTCGCGCTACACTATCTCAATAGATCTACACTTGGGACGAACTCGTTCTAGGTAGTAAGATCTTAAAGGAATAGATCCTCAACAGTAGTGCCTTGATCTGCTTTGTCTTGAACCCAAGCATAAAATTATAGTTCTAGTAGTGAAAAGACTACTTGCAGTCTATAGTACTTTTATGAGAAGCGTCTTCCCAACGTAAAAGTTACTTTTGATGCACAAAGTACGTTGTTTACAGAAAGGAAATGGGACATGACAAAAGATGTCTAACAAGTAAGTAACGAAAAAAAAAAACTGTGAATGCTCAAGGTTCTTATTTCTCTACATACAAAGGCCTGCCCTGTCGACCGTGGACGTGTCACCAACGGGGCTATTACGTCCTGTCATAGGGTTTTTATTTATAGCATTTACCCAAAGTGACTATGATCTGTCTTTGAGATTACAAGATAGTACTGACAGTCCGTTATAGAGCGTTCCATCACTTCTGTGAACCTTGAAATGAAATTGCTTTTCAGTAGATGCCCATTAACAAAATAACGGTTACAAATTGGACATAATTCAACAAAAATGATCGCAACCTTCAGGAATATTATTGGCAATTTTTTTTTTCATGATTTCTATCAATTATCATTAATTTTACCACTTCACAAGTCTGGACAAATAATAATAGCCAACCGTCAGCCATAACTCATTTGACATCTAAATAATTTTTCTTATAGAACCCATTCAAAAACTCTTTAACCTGAGTCGTCTATCACTTATCAATACCAGACGATTACTGGAGATGCTTCGATATAAATTCTTGTAAAACTTTTCCCGGAAATTTTGCCCGAAACCTCAGTAACCCTGAACATACGGCGTCACTGCTGTAAGGCGCTGTCCTAAAATAGGCGTATGTCGATGACGCTGTCAGAGGGCTAATTTTCGGATGTAAGCGGTCTAGTATTGGTCAGTTAGCTTTGGTTTTTACTAACAATTGCCCATGTTGTTTCAGGCAGTTTTCACCTAATGACATTTCGCTATGTCGAGTTACAACTCATAGGGGCATATCAGCGTTAAGCAGAATGCAGTATTTTATCGAAAGCTTTCTCGTAAAAGTTCTGCCTACCGTATACGGAAGATAATAATAGTCGTATACTTAGCTTTCTCTCATAAAAGGTTTTCGTTCAATGTAACATCCAAGTAGTTATCTTTCTAAACGTCAGCTGATGTCTCAGATGGCTTCGGCTTCCTCTATTCTTCAGTTACAAATACCCGTCATAGCACACTCTCAGCGGACGATGAATAATTGAAAGTCCCGATAAAGCCCTTCTAGCCAATCTAACTTTTCAAAAGTTATTTTTAGGCATAGCAATTTCATATGGTGGAAATCCGCACAATTGACGTCGCTGCCTGTACCGATAGCTACACTTCTATCTGAAGTTCGAAGCCCAAAGCTAAAAGGTAGCAGGCTCACGTTGAGAAAAAAAAAGAGCATCCACTTATGGCTAAAGAATGTTTGGTAATTATATCTAGTACAAAAATTAGCACGTGGCCATAATAATGAGGTGAGGTTTAATCTATAAGCTATGTTTCTTATGCCCAGCACCAGCGGCGCCTTCAAATAGAATTCGACCAGTTGTGCGAGTTTATCTACGAAAAATATCAACTAATTTGCTTTACAGCCTAACTCGGAAGCGTTAAATCGACCTAATTATTAGTAATTACATCTTACGTGTACGTTCCGGTCAACTGAAAAAGGCTTCTTGTCCTGAAGATGTTCACAATTGACTTTAACAAATACATATAACGAGAATTAAAAGAAGATCACTAGTAAACCATTAAGCTATAGATCAACCAAACACTTCGGAGAGATTCATGCTCGTGTTATCTCAGAAAAATCAATTCCATTGTTTATGTACATATAATATCTGTACAAAATGCATCCATATCGTCACCAGCAATTACTCTTGCTGTCCTGGTGGCTTTCTTCGGTCTGCAATATTTTAGCTGCCGCCTCCTTTGTCCCGTCCTGCACTCCCGAACGTTATTATTCTTATCGATAGCGATGGTAGTTTTTTTGCTGGCAATAACAGACGACGGGTCCGCCCAAACCATGGACTCGTATCCCAGATGGGCAAGCAAACCGGCGCTAGGCAATTGCCAACCGGCCAAATGGCCAATCTGACAACTTTGTGGGTGCCTTCAGTTGCTGTTCCATCGGTTACCGTGCTGCTTCGCGCCACCACCTTTATCCCCCGTTTGTTCTGCCCCTGTGACGTGTCTGTTTCAGTCTAGTCACCCAACCTCAAAGTTGACAAGCGTTGACAACAAACTTGCGTACTCCAATTTTTGGTTTGTTTCTGTTTTCGTTTTTATGCCAAGCGAACTATGTGGTCCGGCTGGCTTGTCTTGCGAGTAGCAGTTTCGATAGGTCTGTCTATACGACTATGTAAGCAAGAGGAAACGGTCGGAGGCATCCATGCTTTCTGGACCAACGCCGTCGTTTCTCTCACTTAGAAAAAGGCCCAAGGAATTGCGCAATTCTTCTCCCAAGGTAAGTTGTAGGAGTTAGGATATACGCAGGGGGTAACAAAGAGTCGGGATCATAGGGGTATTGATAGTGTATGGGCTAGGCCGTTTCGAAAAAATCTCTTCTGCTTGCGTCTCCTCCATAGCCGAATCTTGAGTGAGTCAAAGACGTTTCATTGGTGATGGACCAGGAAGTGAACGGGAAATTTGTGGGAACTTTCTAGAGCTTGGGTTTACGCCCTTCGCACACACACGAGCGTTTCCTGTTACGAACTAAACAAAACTATTGTTGCCATCAAACTGTTCGATCACTCACTTCAGCTCGCAGTCCTTAAGCCGATCCATCGTGTTAGTACATGATTTGCCGACCACTCTTAAATCCGTTTCCCCATAGCAAACTCACCCTCTTGATAGAAATGAGCAACTCCAACCTACAATAATTCTTAAATTAAATTAACTCGATGGACTGACGAAAGTTAGCACGTTCCTAGGACCTGACATTTTTTCTATACGTAGTAGTTAAGTGAATATTTTTAAGGATAGGTGCATTTTAGCAAAAATTGTAGAGGCCTCAAAGCACAGAACGTGGGAGAAATTGATTGAATCAACTATATTGATGTACGTTTGAAAACTGCTAAGTCAAATAGCGTTTGCACAGGTCCTTTTGCCTACGTAGAGGCCTCCACATATATGAATCCAAAATCCAATAATAGTTGGCAATCCCGCCAGAATAATGTGTACTGTGTTTAACTTTTGTCATTTTTACGTTTATAACGTGGATTTCGTGCTAGTGAATATATCCCATATGTATCAACATTACTAACACATTTGGTGGCTAGAGTTCCGATAGTACTTTTGAATACGCTTAAGTAAAGTTTCAATACCTTAGTCTATTATCATTATTCTCTAGTCTACTGAGAAAACTAGATAGGTTGCGCTTACCAGCTGAATAAAATGGTCTTTGGGACCATTCTGCAATGTTATCTCTTCACAGAAACATCCCATTTCTCCCGTGCTGGCCCCTTTTCAGCGCACTCAATAGCACACACAACTAGCAATTAGTCCCATATGCAATATTGTCCTTTGTCCTCTTGTAATTCTGGTCTCCCAGATCGGTCAGGCGATGGTCAGAGGGAATTCGATTAGTTGCTAGAAAAAAAACAAGTTCAGTTGGCAGTCTAATCCATCTATCGCTTGTTAGATCCTATTGGTAAGACCCGTCAGAAAGTCGACCACTCAATCATGGCTTTCTCCTACAGCGCATTGATGCAGTGGTATATCCTACCTGGCAAACGATGTATCCGAGGGCGGAGGGGGGGGGGGGGGGGGGGCTTTTGATATACATGATTCATAATTAGTGGGAATATGGAGATTCAGGCGAGGCGTTTGGCTCAGTCACTGGATCAACAAACCTTGCTGTGTAAACGCGGTAACGTTGAATTTGAAGCTCGTTTAATTGAGTAGTTAACAAAAAAGCTCGGCTACTAAAGTTCAGGTCGAGATTCGTCATGAGGCATACGCGGAGTTTTTGAAAAATCATGTGACCCGAAATCATCACACCCGAAAACCGCAATAGAGACACCATACGAAGTGTTAGAAAAGTACAACGCTTTAAGGTCTGAGTTTTTTTCTTCCATTCTTCGCCATAACGAACCAAGCTCACACGGCTCGACACAAAATTGTATAGCTGTCTGAAAATGTTTTAAGCTTTTCATATTATAATAGCGTTATAGTGGAATTGCGTATTGAAGAACAGAAGTTACGTGAATGAGTGTAGCCGGACGACTTCTGCCGTAACTGATCAGATCTTTTTTCGGTGCAGCCAAAACATGATTGTATTAGCAAACACTTGTATCGCACATTTAATATGAAATAACAGTGTTTAATCCGTTTTACGCACTTAGTCATATGCCATACCTTTAACAAGGACTGAATACTACCATTGGCTTTTAATAGATACTGGTTAAGGCCAATGGTCTAATATAACGGATGCATACGATTGATCACTACACACCGCTGCTTCTTGCCGTTCGAAGCGCTTTAGCAATCGAGCTCTCCTGTATAGGCAAGATTTGACGTCTAAGTAACGTTGTTTAGTCAGTGAGCTTTGTTCTTGTCAGTGCTTCTTGCTGTTCTGTACCGTCTGCCCTTCAATTCGACTAATTTGGGCAAAACGTCAACTGGGGGCGACGAACCATTTAACATAAGGTACCGTCAAGTGGTTTGGCAGATTGCCAGGTGCGCGCAGATCGCAAATAATACCATTTAGAAAATCGCAAACCGATTTTCTTTAAGGGTTCCTCGTTGGGTTCGAACTGTTGAGTGTCGTTCGCTATCATTCCCTTTCTGTCATTTTGTCTGCCTGTCTTCCATTTAGCAAATCTGTATGGCACAGTGTTATGGTGTCCTTATAAATAAGGCCATCTTTTTATCAACTAAAACGTGTGTGTGTGTGTTCTCTTTTCCTCAATGATTTACTTTGTAGACAACTATCCAACGAATCGCTCTTAGGCTTAGCACTGGTTTGATCGTAGTGGCCAAAGCAAAATGCATGGCAAGTGACCCTAGTGTTTCTTTGAATGCCCGTTAATCGGCTCGACTTTATTTGGCCTTGGCTTCGGCCGACTGCCACCTAACGGTGTCACCCTGTCCACAGGAGATCCTTTACTCTTTCGTTTCTTGCTTTTCGTGGAGCAACTAATTCCGTACATCAATGTGTAGGTGATCCCGTCAAGAAACACGCTCCATTACAACCTTTATCTTTCAATCGAAAAGGTAGCGTGCTGGCACTAGTTTCCTGCCTACAAAGGGAAAACTTCGAAGCCGTTGCCTTGCTCCCGACTTTCTGGTCAGTTACACGCTATTTTCTCTTACAAACAAAGCTTTGCTTTGTACGGCGCCGTACAATCAAGGCGTTCGCTACGAAGGAATACATTACATGTAACGTGTCGCCGTCCATGGATTCCTACTACTTGCCCCTATCCGAACAACAATGGATAACAACGTTACCTAACCAACTGGACTTCACTCCAAATGGCCCTTTGTCGCCCCCCGCTGACACACGTATATTATTACAAGAAGCAGCGTGTCACTCTTCAATCTCTTCGACCAGTCCACGAAGTTGCGACCCTTTACACTGACGCACCCGACCTTACAATGCTCTTACACTACTCCACTCCTCTCTATGGTAGTCTTCTGCTACGCACACAAACTTTCAGAAGCAGACGTTCGCCAGCGTGTTTCCCTTTCCAGCTCTCTGTTCTGAACTATTAGATTCCTTCAAAAGGTCACTTTTGCTCCTATTGAGATAGCTGTTTTGATGACAAATGTACAGCTAAATACCTTTCCTATAAGCTATTAGAAAGGCAGAGAGTGACGAAATGGGGCAACGATTGTGAAGTCATACAGGTGACGACTTTTGAAAGCTTCTACGTGTGCGCGCTACCACTTTTATATTGCTTTTTGTTGCTTTCTGGTTTATACTGAACGCAAACACGTACCCGTTATTAATGTGTTAGTGAAATTTACTAAAATAGTTCATACATAGTTATACTTCTAGTAATTTCTTTCTATCTAGTAAATATCTTTCTAATAATCTCCAAATAAGAATTCGACTTAACGATATCTTTAATCAGTTGTTAGCTTTTGTTTTTCTACAGAACGAATCAATCATGAAACAGAATAGTAGTAAAAAATTATTTTTGTTTTGGTAAAAAAAATTACAACTGCTCCTTTAAGTTACTCAAAGGAGTTTAAAAGGTCGGTGGCGATCAGTTCGTAAGAGCTAACTTCAAACTAAGAGCTCATGCTTTCAGTGTCCACCTAAAAGTAGTAGGGGTAGTTGACTATTGGCAGGTTCTTTTACCAAATTGTTGCGAAAGCTGGCTGGCTTCGAAAGGCCATCCAAAAGGACCGAAGTGCGCGAAATTGAAAGACGAATGTGTGTGTGTTAATCGTGTGGAAGTTTTCATATTCTGCGGAATACAGTTTCTATCAAAACAACAATTTCTATCAACCTACTGATCGATGTATCCGCGCCTCGAGTAGTGCCAGCTATTTCGATTGCCATACGCTTTTAGCTGTTCACGTCCGCTCTGTAGTTAAGGGAGGGATGCGGCAGAAAGTTGGAAGACACGAATTTATTGCTAGTCCGGTGCCTGTTTTCCCCTATGTCGGCAGAAGGGGCCGATTACGACTTTTTGCGTTTGCCGCCTAGGCCAGCCGAACCCTGCGTAGAACCAGTTCAAAAATTCTCGTCTATCTCTACCGGGTCTACTAACTGGACGCTATAGGGAAAAATCCAGGCTATATCTCAAAAATATTTTTCAATAGTAAAAATCATGCAAGGTTGAAGGTCAAACAATTTTCCAGCGATCGAGATCTAATAAGATCCCCAAGTTTTCGTTAAATCGTTATTTATTGACAACTGTAGCAACTAATGTGCGAGCGATAGCTTTTGTAACTCACGTGATTTAAAATTGCACCGTTTTATTGACGAAATCAATTTATTAAATTGAAACAATGCATCGATACTTTCCCTAGGTAATTCTGCTTGGCTCGTGAAGATCAACGGTGCGGTGAAGTTACGTTTAATATTGCTGCAGGATAATTCTTTCCATTTAGCTTACTTACTTTACCACATCATGCTCTATAGTGATCCGATTCGACAAGTTTGTACCATTTAGGCAGAAATTCTGCTATTAAGGCTTAATGCTATTTTTCAGGGTCTTGAGAAATAATTCTGTTCGCCGCTCGAGTCGTCAGACAGGAATGCCCTAAATAAGCCTCGACCAATCGCAGCTTCAATGTAATCTCTCATTCATATAACTAGCATTATCTATTCATATGACTCCTAAAGCGGTCTCATTGTGTCCTCTTTGGGCTTTGTTCATTTGTAAACTTGATATTCACACATGTCTGCAGTAAATGTATATATTTTCAGAAGTGGCCAACATTTCGTTCAATGGCATGATGGGGCAGGTCTGCGTGCGTGAATTCTTCTGAGATCTCTCTATCAACAAAAGGAAAATCCAAATTGCCCCCAAACGTGCCTTTCGTCGTGCCCAGTTTTACCGCACACGCGAAAGTAAGAGTAAACCATTGGAGCTGCTTGTCAACCTGGGTCCACATGCACGATATAAATAAACCCTGTGGACACCACACAAACTTTACCGAGTGAATCATTTGAAGAATTGTTTTGTGATAGAAACTCTGTTGCGCATTATATTGGACGGTTCTCAGTTGAGGACACGTTCAGTAAGCTTTGCAGTGGATGTAAATAACAATCACCCCTTTAAGCCTAATAAAAAGTCGCTAGAAAAGATCCATTTAAACATTGCACTTATTCTTTCGTTGCTGTTCGGCTTCAAAACAGTCTTATAGAGATATGGAAAGAGAAGCTATGATTTTTTAGCGTACCTTTTCGTATTTCTGCTCATCTATATATTTTTTCCATTACGAGAATGAGACATCTAAAGTAGCACAATTCAATTTAGATGTCAATAAAATAAACTATCGCTCCAGGCACTAGCTAAATAGAGTCTAGAACTTAGAAAATCGCTAGAACTTAGAAAATCGCCACGGCCAGGCCATGAACGTTCACGGTCTGACCGAATATGACTATTTTCAAAACTCTCCAAGCTGCGAGCTTTGCCCATCTTTCTATCTAGAATATTTGCCCAAAATGTTGAAGTCAGTCGAAAGAAAGACTGTTGATACGTTTTGTACTTCAAAAGATTTCTTCCATTATAGGTATGACCAAACAGTAGTGAAGATTGATGCCAATTAGTCCTTGTAAAGCTGTAACACTCTATGTTTGCTTGCTCGACGTTTACAACTTGTAAGACCACCGAAGGTCAACACGCATATCGCATCGGAATTTACCCATTGTTTAAAAGTCCAAATTACTTTTAAAATATTTTTCTCAATCCATCAAAACATATCCGAGCTTCAACACAGGTTTACCTTCTTTGAATTTAGGTCGCGCCCTTGCTAGGAAGAATATTATGCCGTTTGTAACTAAAAAATAAACGTGTAACCTTCATGAGAGAAAAATATGTAGTTTGTACGACAGGACGATTTTTGCTGGACAAGCGCGTGCTAATTAAATTTCTGATTAATTTATCAAACCACAAAGTTACAATAGAACAATTTCCCATTAATCTCGCGAACGGTTGAACGGAAGAATGCTTGCTGGTAAATTCAGGGAACGCTGCTAATCAGACACCTGAATTCTGACAAATGCTACCGCTCTCAAAGCCTCAACTTTAGAAGAGGCTTATGAACGTAGTTTCTGCTTTAAATTTACGAGATCTTTATCAAATCAACTTTGAACTTCCTTTCGACAGAAAAAAAAAAGGGAAATATTTCGGATCTGGAAAGTCGTAATGCTTAGAAAAGTCTATCTTCATTAAGAACTGGTGCAATACGCAACCCGTTCGAAAGGAAATTATGGCACGCGTACGCATATAAAGGCCAAAACCGTTTAGCCTGCTCAATAGCAATCATCCTGGTTGTTGTTACACGACGGCAGTTACGTATACAGATAAGTGGCAAAGGATTCACGACGAGAGTTCTTTAAGCAATACGAAGTTTTTATTCGACAGAAACATTGTAAACGGAGCCAACTAGCAAGCTTCATCTTCTCAAGACACGCGTTCCGCTCTATAATTTATTCCCCATAGTGTTTTTGCAGAATCTGTTGGCTATGCTGTGTCCGCCGGTCACGGACCAATTTCAGTATATCCAATAAAAGGAAGCGGTCGAAGTATAGCATTCTGACAGCGCAGAACTGGATTCTTGGAAGATCGTATCTTCTTTCACGTACAGGCTTGGCTGCCGCTTCTTTTCTCTGTTTGCTTCAAAACAGATATCACTGTTATGTACCGCAAAAGAGCCAGTTCGAACAGAAACACAACTAGACGCACGTTTAAACGAGTAATACTGCATCGGTTCACGTTAACTCAAACACACAATCACATATGAATACACGTACATCAACAAAGACGGAAGTTACTGCTCGCTTTGGACTATACACACCCAATTAATTACGTTTGGAAAGCGGCAGTTAAACTGAGTTAAAAATGCCTCATCGGCCTCGTCCGGGCCCTAGACCGCCGACCCAAACCTCGCCTGATTGGACAAAAACACACGACACACATATTGAACAAACAGACTAAGGCTAAGGGAGCAACAAACAACGGCACGCTTTTTTGCCCCCAGCGAAGGAGCGGCAGTTGCTTAACCGAAAGATATGTCACGCGATCCGATAGCAATAGTGCTTGGTGTGGCAGCCACTCATCAGTCGAATGATAATATATAGGAAACCTGTAAAAGGAATTACTTTCAGTCCTCGCGACCTCATGTAAAAGGTGAATCCGCCAGCTGCAAAAGTGCTTCAGTAGTATCTACCGTACTAGATTGTCCTACCATTCGTTAACCCAAGGCAGACTGAGGGATAGACTGAATTAGGCTGTTCTTCTCAAGTCAGAGTACGAGACACGGTACGTTTAGGCCAGAGGCAGCTAAATCCTCCGTGTTCGTTTTACGCAGCATAGAACAGCGTATTTAAAGGGGCATAAGGACGCCCTTTAAATTTTGACTAAATTTGCCTTATAGCAGTATCCATCCAGCACAGTCCTTTAGTCTAGACATCTCAAGCTGGCTAAGTACGGCGCTATCGAACATCTTGATAAAAAAATTCGTCGGGCAGTTGATAAACAGTTTTTCCCGACTCAATCTTTTGTCTTCATTTGTTCCTGAAGCTTTTAGAGTGGATAATTTCTTTCTGTAAGCAATATGTAAAATAGTTGTCGAAGTCGATGCTTGAATGTACCGTAGGCTACCTCAGTTTGGTAACACGCTCTGCCAATTTTTTAAAAATCGTACTAGATACGTGACAGACGACGACGGCATTTTAAGCGATTCGAGCATAAAAGCTGAATGATATATTTTTTAACCGTAATGCAAATCGATATCCATATAATGCGGTCTCTATAGTTCCTGTGATACTAGTAATACGATAAACACATGAAAGCTTATCTTATTTAATAATTATTATATCGAAGTAATGCAAATTACCCGATAGTTGCTTTCTTTTTTGGCGCCCCAAATACAGTTTTGAATTGAATTTGTTGTTTGACATGGCTGATTTTATTTATAATTTAACCAGCTCAGTGCCAGACAACGTTGAAACAAATGTTTAGATAATGAATCAACAAAAATCAATATACAATGAGACGAAATAAATTATGTGCGCTAGGATTTCGATAAGTTGCAGAATTTTGTGAAGTACATGTCTCAGGATGATTTCGTTTGAATATCGTAGTGTGTCTTAATGGTGTATGATAATGCGATACATGAACAACATGCCCGCAATTGCGTCCTATGTGGCTCGTCCACTACCGCCTCCTTCATGTCCTATATGGTGACCTGCGATTGTCCAAGAAATTTGTATGAAACAGCTCTCCCGCGAGTCGTCGTGAGTTGAGCTTACCCAGCCAATGAAATTTTTGCCAATGAAACGGGACTAGAAAACGTAAAACGCTAGCGCTCTTCAAATTACGTTCTCTAGTTGTCGACACTAGCATGCTACATGCTGTTGTCGTGTGTATATATGTTCATAGGTGTGCTTCCTTGTCTCCATAGCTGTCTCGCTTACCGCTATCTAAGCTCCGTCCGTGCTCTGTCCGTTGACATGACTAGCGGGCCAAGACTTGTGGAACTCAGCCATGACCTGCTTTAACTCGTCGCAACTTGCGACGCCCACAGTAGAATGCCAGTGAGCCTAGAAGTCAAACTCTACTTGGCTCCTAATTACTCCCCAATTAAACAGACGAAAAAGTTAGAACAGGAACCCTGCTTCCGCGCAACCTCTAATCCTTTCTCTTTCTTACAGAAGCACCCTCCGATTCCGCGTCACTCAGTTATTCTCTCCCCACGACCTAGCCCTACCGCTCTCATCACATTTCGTCACTACTACTCGGCCCCTAAACTAGTACGTTGTCTGATATACCTCATACTTTGTCGCAACGTTATTATTCTCTGCTTTTGCCAACGCTCAGACCTTACACACCACTGTAGAGGAATCGATTTAGTGCTGTGACGTTTCCACTTGCCTGTCATTGATGGCTAGTCGTGATTGCAGCTGAAATGGCCGAATGGGTAGCATAGACCTCTTGAAATATGAGAAATGGTTCCCTCGGATCGGTCGGAACCCCGCAAAACGATGAAGAGAATTTATCTTTCTGTAGACTTTGACTGGCTAACATTGGGCCATCCACTGCATAAGTCATTTGTAAGGAAGTCTGCGCTTTTTTTCCAGCAAAAATAGGCATGAAACGACGGTAGCAATGAACGTCATAGCGATGTTGTCACCAAAAGAAAAATTGTGCCGATGGCTTAATCATAACGTGTCTGTCTACGAATTTTAAGGATATGGAACATGATAGATAGAGGAAATTGGCACAATACATGCGAGGCAAGCCGTTCGACCAATGTAACGTGATCAAGAAACACAGTGACGTTCGCAGCAGTTTAGATACCGGTAGTTACCAGAGAAGTTGAGCTTAATTCCTCTACGACCGTCTGTCGCGGATCTGATTTATTTGCACGCCTTTTGGGGATGCTTGTTTCCAAATCGTGATACACAGTAGGACCCTGGCACAGCTTTCTTCGAACAACAACACCACAAACTATTAGCGTAAGAGCTACTGAGTACGTTGATACACGATATAGGATAGTAAGTTTTAATGTTTTCACCAATGTATCTAGACACACTCTTACCACTCCCGGAACTTTTCAAGTTGCTGTCAAAGGTCCTTTTTAAACTTTATACCTAGAAGCAGCATCGTTGTACGTGTACTCCGCGTACTCTGTAATGCACAGTCCATTACTATGTACATCGCGCATTGAGCGAGAGACGCTAACATTTTCTTGGTTTGAAGCTGTAAAGGGCTTTGCTGTATGAGGAAAGGGGTCACAACCAAAAAGCGCGTAGTCGTCCTTTGGGACACCAGGCGCCGCCCAGGATTACTCAGGATGTCACTGGAGAGAAATGTTCGAGAAGGACTTCCAACGAGCGGCGTTTAGAAGTCACGACATTCGGATCTTACGGCTCTTTACTCTTCGAAGCCGTTCCCCGATCTGGCCACTTTCCTGGACAGAGAACCTGACGGCTAAAGCTCTTATCAGCTTTGTTGTGCTGCAATTTGCAGCCGTTGTGACAGAAAGCAAGAAAGTCAGTGAT